TTGGTATTTATTTACCTCAAACAAATCTCTATGGCCCTGGCATCCCCGGCAAACTCACCCCAGCAGCCTCGGAAAACCTGACTGCTCAAACACAGTCTGGACATGTGAGGTCACACTGGCTAAACACAGGGTTTGATATATGTACCTAGCTTATAGAAGTGGTTTGGTCGAGTTGTGCACTGGCACCTTCAAGCGTGGGTGGACATCCAGAAACCATGCCTAGAGCAAGAAACAAGTCTAACAAAGTATCTACTTAAGCTACAGAGATGAAACAAGTATGTACAAGTTCAGGACGACAAGACAAGATTAACTATGGAACAAACACAATGAGAATCAATGTGTGTGACAAGATATTAATGAAATAAGATCTATCTACAATGTCCATGAAGTGTCCATTTAGAGTCCATGAAGTGATTTCTCACTAATTCTAACACTTGGGATGACTATGAGCATGGCGAGTTGTCGATGGCAATATCCTTGCAGGATACCACATCTCAGATTGGCCTTGAGTGGGCATGACCTTCTAATCATGGACGACAAGGATCAGTCCCAATCCAAACCAGAGATCCAATGTATTGGATCTTGTATTCTTAGCTCCATCTGAGATCTTAATCTCGATGCCCAGATTGGAGCACAATCTCCAGGGTCCATCAGATCATGTCCCGATCTGTGCGGATCTTGATATCAGTCCCGAACTGCCCAGATCCGGGTGACGGACAATTAAACCTGGAAGCAAGGCTGAGAAGTCTTTCATTTCAGATATTCTCTGGGACCTTGTGGCTGTTCCTGTTGCAGCCCCAGCTACCAAGGAAGGCGTTGAAGCTTTAGCCGATGCTATCGTGACAGTGTTCTCGGACACATGGCTTGCCCATTTGACCGAGTCCAAACCTACCAAGCGCTCCAAGTCCTGGTGGATGGATGAGTGCTCGGACACATTCGGAGTGTATCAGCTGAGCTGCTCGCTGGCTGATTACAACAAGTTCAAGAAGGTGTGTAAGAACACCAAGTGTGATTTCTTCAATGAACACATCGCAGAGATCGCTACTTCTCGCAAGCACCCGTGGGACCTGATGGAGTGGGTCAAACAGCGCAAGCTACCCCCCTGTGAGGCTATTCGCAACGGCGACCAGCCTTGTCATGATATGGACGACCTCTGGGACACCCTTCACAGCACGTACAACTCAGCCTCGGGTTGTGAGTACAATGCCTCAGTCTTAGACAAGCTTCCCGATGAGCCGGTCCATGAGTGGGCTGACTTCTTGGAGCATGAGTTGTTGAGTGCTCTTACAGGGTGCTCCAACTCCTCTGCACCAGGACCAGACCATGTTACATGGGTCCACCTAAAGGAGTTGCTTAAGGACAAACACATCCTTGCACTCTTCATCATGTTGGCCAATGCTTGCCTCCGGGTGGGACATTGGCCGTGTATATTCAAGGAGCTGCTATTGGTCATTGTTCTGAAGCTGAACAAGCCCTCCTATGCAGTCCCAAAGGCCTTCCTGCCTATCGTACTCCTCATCACTTTTGGTAAACTTATTGAGAAGATGATTGCCAACAGGATACAGTTTGACGCTGTCAAACATGATATCTTTCATCCAAACCAGCTGGGCGGTATCTGCCAGAGGTCAACTGAGGATGCTGGATTGATTTTGACTCATCTTGTGCGAGCAGGATGGGTTAAGGGTCTCCAGACTAGCACGCTAGCTTTTGACATCATGCAGTTCTTTCCTTCTATCAACCATGAAATGTTCATGGCCGTTTTGCGCAAGCAAGGGTTTTCGCCGGTCTTGGTGGATTTCTTTGCCTCTTACCTCATTGGTTGTTCCACAGTTTATTGCTGAAACACCTTTCAATCCGACCCACGCTCTGCGGACATGGGTGTCGGGCAGGGCTCAGCTCTCTCACCTGTCATCTCAGGGCTTTTCATTGCTCCAGTAATGAAGCTCTTCTACATCAAAGCGGTGCCGCTTAACACAATGCTGCTCTCCTTTGTGGATGATGGGACCATTCTGGCCCAGTCCAAACAGCTTGATGATAATAATGTGGGCCTGCATAAGGCCTATAAAATTATCTACCTTTTATTTGTTGCATTCACACTTGTTCTTGAACATGACAAGACCAAACTGTTTCACTTTTCGTGTCGACACGACACCTACAATCCTTTGCTTGACCTGGGGTATGCCCTGCATACAGGTGATACACCTCTGAAACCCAAGATCTATTGGAGGTACCTGGGCTTCTACTTTGACCGTGGGCTCACTTTCCATGAGCACGTTCGCTACTATGCCACCAAGGCATTCACCACTGTGCAGGCCATGTGCATGCTCGGGAATTCTACCAGAGGTCTCTCACCTAAACAGCAGCGCCTCCTATACAGATCTTGCGTGGTTCCTATTGCCACGTATGGTTCTCATCTCTGGTATTTTGATGGCACCCATAACAAGGGTGCCATGAACCAGCTTAAACGGATGCAGCAGAAAGCTGCTCTTTGGATTACAGGTGCTTTCCGCACCTCACCCACAGGCAGTCTTGAGGCCCTAGCTGGTCTCATACCCGTCCATCTCATGCTGAAGAAGCTGGCCATGTGCGCAGTGTATCACGTCGCTACCCTCTCAGACACCCACCCTCTTCGCTCCATGATGGGCAAGGGACTCCTCAAGCGGGCTGAACCCCACACCCGCTCTGCTGCCTTGATGACCCCAGCTTTGCAGGGGAAAGTCAAGAGCACTGTTATGGAGGTGGATGAACGCATCCACACCCTAACTGAGAGTTTTGAGCCCTTTGCGCCTGAAGCTCACCCCAGTGATCGGCTACTGAACTGCTTTGCGGACCATCTCCACTTTGACGAGCGCGATCCTACACAGGATAGGTGCCCATATCTTGATGAACTCATTGCGACTGTGAGGGCCAACCCTCTAACAATACTGGCTGCGGTTGACAGCTCTGTCCCTCAGTCTAACCAGTATCAGGCGACTTCGGCCACTATAATCTACAAGGGACATCGCGAGCTCGAAAGAACTCGCTATGTCTCTGGCAGGGTCACCACCCCAGATGTGGAGCTCAATGCCATTGCGTGTGCAGTGCGCCTTGCCGTCAAGCAGGCAAACTGTCAACACATTATGGTCTTTACCAACTCTATGGGCTCAGCCCACAGAGTGGTCAACCCATCTGTGCATTCTGGTCAGGCTTTTACCCTATTGGTCTGTTGCATTCTCCAGGAGTGGTTCGAGGCGGATGATCTCTGCCACATCACCTTTGTCTATGTTCCATCTGCTCTGCAGTGGGATATTCATGGGGAGGCACACAAGTACGTCACCGAACTCAAAGTCAGGGTTGGATGTTGCAAGACAGACAATTCTATAGACGCACTTCGCTCTCGAGCTGCGCACTCAAGCCTGGACACATGGGGCTCCATGTTCCAGGATCGTACCTACTGAGGCTCTGAATTCTTGGAGCTTCAACGGCCTGATGGGCGGCCGATTCAGCCATCATACCTCAATGGGGGACCTTGGCTTTCAACATTCAGACACAGCATTACTGAGTTCACTTGCGTTTGCTGGTGTATAACTGGCCACATGCCTATTGGAGCGTACTACCGTCACTTCAAGATCAACGAGCCTCATGGCTGCACTTGTGGGGCTGCTTTGCAGTCTCGCCAGCATATTCTCTTTCGCTGTCACGATCGCTACTCCGTGCATTATCCTCGTTTTCTCGGGGATATTGCATCGTTTATGAAGTACAACCTCACTGTGTTTGGCTTCAGCTGGGACCCCTCAGGTGTTGGATAATCATTGTGGGCAGGGTTGTTCCTCCTTTCAGGGGATTTATGGTGAATTGACACCACCGAGCTCTAGGGTTCAAAGACCTGCACCTGCAGCAACTCTTTTGCGCAAGCAGTTGGCCTTCTTTGGTTGGTTGACTGTGGCGCTGCTACCTTTCTGCGTCTGGTTTCAGGCAGGTACACCTCTGGCTGGTCAGCCTTAAGACACCCTGCCACCTCCCAGGTGGTGCTGTTCTTATCTCATTTGCACTGCATGGCCTCCGAACAGCGTTCAATGACTCTGGGGTTTAGTGGGGCCTCGATGGTCTCTTCCCCTTATTCTGTGTCACCATTTTCACGAGGTGGGTCTGGCTTTGTGGGAGTTTAGGCATTTGAGCCACAAGGCTTGTGGTTGGGGGGGTGGACGTCTTTTAGTAGTTTACCTAGTACTCAGGCCACGTAGCGTACGTGTTTGTAGATAGCAAGCAGGCTGCCATCAAGCACTGCTATATAAATTGTTGATCAAAAAAAAAACAAATGGTCTCTTCCCCTTATTCTATGTCACTGTTTTTGCAAGGTGGGTCTGGCTTTGTGGGAGTTTAGGCATTTGAGCCTCAAGGCCTGTGGTTGGGGGGGTGGACGTCCTTTAGTGGTTAACTTAGTAACTAGGTTGCATAGCGTATATGCTCTGTAGATAGCAAGTGGGCTGCCATTGAGCACTGCTATATAAATTGTTGATCAAAAAAAAAAAGTCATATATTTTTCTTCTTCATCCTATTGACTATATATCTAGATTATGATATCTTCTTCTTTCTATGCTATAGGTGAGTGCATATCTCAGTAGAAGGGGATTGTATTATAGCATACAGTACTAGTATTAGTGTAATCTGTTCAATGTACATTAAATAGAGAAATATAATTGAGTCTTCTTTCAATACATGAAGTGTGAACAGAAGAAAAAATGAAACATCCTGAATAACATCTACTGTAGTCTTAGCCTGTCCTCTGAGCATCTTGAGGACATCCTGAGGACACTATAAGATTTTACATCTAGGAATGTAGGCTTCAGGAGCCTTACTGTCCTTGGTGTCTTACATGTCTCAGATTGTCCTCAAGACAACTAAGACAAAAAGGTTTTTCCTGATGGACATCTTGTACTTCTACACCAGCGGTTGATGTGAACTTGGAATTGTCACTGCTGTCAGTAGGTGTTCCAGCTGCAACACTGCCCTCATTGTCTCCACCCACAACATTCTGGCCAGATGACCTGGCTGAATTTCAGTCAAGCTTCATATTATCTGACAATGACCACAAACAGGCCTGCCAGATCTCAGAAATATATGGCCTCAAAGCCAAGTATGGCAATTGTCTCAAGAACCACCAGTTTACATGGATGAAGTACTCATTAGGCTGCATCTCCATTGAGTGGCTCCCAATCTACATCTACAAAGCCAACCCAACAATCTCAGAGATCTGGGAGGGGTATACCAACAGTCTTGATGGGCATCTTTCAATTCAGCAGCTGTGCAATGGGTGAATGCATGATGGCAGCACAATAACTCAGGACTCAACAGAGGCAGCACACTGCAAGCAGATCATAGGATTAATTGAGACACTGGTCAAGCAGCCCAATTGGAACACATCACTCATGCTACACTTTCTTGATGAGAAGTATCCAATACCATCTTTGTCTCCTGTCCATCTTCATAGCACACAAGCCTTCATCACTCATCTACAAAACAAAACCTCTGGGCATCAGGCAGTAGTAGATATTTTAGAAGCTGCTACATATTGTACATAGAGTATACATGGGGGTAATCTAATCAAATTTAATTTGTATTTTAACCTACAAGTTCCATCTTCAAGGCATTTGTGATCTTCCTCCTCAAGTTGGTAAGAGAGGCACAGTTGCCTGTCTCAGATTTAGTCAGGAGCAGCTGTAATGTCTTGAATCCCTCTACACCCAACTTTCATCTTGTTCTGCACTCACTGAACAAAGTTTTGAATTGCTTCACCATGGTCATCAGAAATGGGAATTTCTGGCTTATGGAAGGTAAGGCTTTGATTGGGCATGTACATTACATTCATTGTCTGATTGTGTCCACCACATTTCTTAGGCCATCAAACCATTGCACCATGTCAGCACGCTACAAGAGCTCACTCAACTGAATAGATGCAGCTATGAAGCCTGAGGAAAGAATGCCCTCTGTGTTGGAGTGGACATCAGGTGGGAAACTCACCACACCTTGAAAGCCTTTGTCTCACAGCAACAGCATTCTCATGGACGAGTGCCTTGCAGCGATGAACAGCAAGAACCTCTTCCAGTATACTCAGAGCAGTCCCTTGGAAACTTTCTACTTCAAGCTCTGTGAGTTTCTCTGGCATCCAGTCATTATGGTTTTTGTGTTTGATGGCCCTGGGCACCCTATTGAGAAGCGAGGAAAGGAAAGGGATAAATACCAGGCTCCTTGGTGGAATGACACCTGCCAGCAGCTCATTGAAGCATTTGGATTTTATTATCATCAGGAACATACATAGAATGTTGGCTCTCAATTACTGCATGAGCTGAACCTCTGGGCCTATAGGCTCCTGATAAAGCTGAGGCAGAGCTTGGCCTGCTTGGGAGGCTTGGGATGCTTGATGTAATTATTACAAGTGATGGTGATACATTCATTTTTGGTGCCTTGCTTGCACTACAAATTCAAGACTACCAAGAGCAAAAGACCAGTATGCTGTCTATTTCACTGATTTTTTTTTTTTGGTCAACAATTTATATAGCAGCACTTGATGGCAGCCTGCTTGCTATCTACAAACATCTGTAGTTTCCTCTCCCTCTGCTCTACCAAGTTGGACCAAGTTGGATCAACTTGGACCAACTTGGATCTATGCCAATTCATACCAAGTCCCACTTTGCAAGTGATCCAAGTTGAATCCAAGTTGGATTTGACTTCTTATAATATATTAAAAAGAAAATAAGGATCCTGACAGAGTTTGCATTTTGGTTGGCCCACCAGGTTGGCATGTGACTACCCCAATTTAGACAGACTCTTATATAATAATTCAAAATTTCCAACTTGGATCCAACTTGGAATCTCCTCTCTCCAAAACTAAAAGTAAATATCTAGAAGGTGTTCAAGTTGGTTTCAAGTTGGTTTCAAGTTGAATCCCAGTTGAGCACAATACTTTACCTTGTCTCATATAGTCCAGTCAGACTCCATTGGAGTCTCGGTAGTATTTAAGGTGTGGCTTGTCATACTATCTGTTAGAGGTTTGGCCCTCATCTTTTCTGTTAGAGTAGTGTTGCCACAGTCCAGTCCAAAGACTGCAGACCATTGGAATCAAACCGCAAATGGAACTGATGAGACCAAACTGTAAGGACCATGAGACCGGAATGTCCAGGATCAAAAGGGTTTTATCAAAAGAGGAAGCAAGTCATTTTTTAAAATTTCCTGAAGATGTTGTCATGTCTGAGGGGATTCTAGGACAGATAGAATGAAATTAAGCTGTGTAGATGCATTAATAACCTTGAAAAATAATTATTGATCCTTTTTATTTTTATTTTTCTATCTCAGATTGACGAAAGTGTGAAGAGGGCATTTTAATATTCCATATATGGAACAAACCAATTAATGAACGGTCTCAAAGGGTCCAATTTGGTCTGGAAACTGATGACATCATGAAACTGCACAGAGACCAGACTGGACCAGACCAAATCGGACCATATCAACACTATGTTAGAGTTAGAGTTGGGTTAGCTTAGAATTAGAGTTGCAGATATATTATTGTGCATGCAGCAGACTATTAGCATTTTATCAGGCTAGATAAATTAAGGAGCTAGCAGAATTAAAAATATTATTAGGATTTGATGCAGAACTCATTATGAACTCTAGACTCACTATCAGTACGTTATGGGAGTCACTCCTTTTCTAGTTGTTGTGCATCTGAAAGGGAGGGTTTGTTTGGTTATCCCAGTGGCACAAACATCAGGTGGACATCAATCGGAGAGCGAAAAGGGGTGACTTCCCATAACGACTGGGAGAAACAAAGTGTTTCTAAGGGAGTCCCCAAGCGTAACGTGCTCAACCACTTTCCACACCTCGTCATTTTCATGTTAATGTCAGGGACATTTATTTGCTAAAATGAGCTGATATAGCTACTTACTGAAAAACTTTTTTTTGATGAAAATTTTGACTTCGTCGTTGAGGATGAGTTCTCACTGATTTGATGCACCGTGTTACTGGCTCAACCATATTAAGTCAGACTTATATGAATCAAGAGGCATCTTGGAGGTCAAAAACATGGAATTGACTTGCTGAACCTTCCCTCTCTATAGGGCGGAGGTGTGGCCAGGGATGTAGAGTCAGGGATCCTGGTGTTTTGGTGATAAAGGCGACTCATTTGATCTTGTGCTGCCGTTGCAAGCGCATCCACCTTCTCGAGTACATCGCCACACTTCATTTAATGTGCCTATTGATTCTACAACAACAGAACTACAGCATATCTATTTCAGATTGACCCACTAGCACAAGCATCGAGCACGATTCCGACTGTGAACATCCGGAATCCAGATGTTAGAGTCTATCACAGGGCTGCCATCCTTGCCTGTCATTCACAACCAGCTGCTTCTCAAATGCCAGTGGAGGATCATGAGGAGGTTTAGCTCCCTATTATAAGCTGACTGAATGCACCTTCATCCTTTACAGAGAGGAAAGTTGTGGGGCAGCATGACAACAGAGGTGCTTGCCCCAACATCCCTTTCACTCATCAGATAAGGATAAATTTGTCTATTATGTTAATTTACATTATTCACATACAATTACAACATTTGGTAGGTTGAGAGTAAGGGGAAAGGTATTAACAATGTGGGGTGGGAGGGGGCGAGGGCGAAATTTCACTAAGTCCCATGTGACAAATGTGACTCCCTTAAAAGTGATTCGTTTCTCCCAGCTGTTTCTTGATGAAGCCCTGCAGAGTTTAAAAGAAACAGCTGGTCACAAGCCTATATGAACTCTTTTAAAGGCTAGGTATATTGAATTTTATTAATATATATAAACATTAAATAATCTCACATTATAGTTGGGCACAGTGAGATCTAGTCAGAATAGAACATAATCTGCAATTTAAAATTAAATAAAATATTGTTTGATATTTAGACAGCTTAGATCAATTTAGATCAATTTTTGGGAGTTTCATCAGTAAAAGTACAGGTCCTTTGGCTTTGGCTTCTGGCCCCTTTAGACTCCTTTCACTTTTGCCGCCCATTTGCTTCCCCTTTTTAGACCTCCTTCTGCCACTTTGATCACTTTGCGCCCTTTCACTCTTTTGCAATGCAAAATTCATCACTTTTTGGTACATTTTAAAAGGTTATATTGTATCAAAATGCGATCTCGTGTGCATGGTGATCAACAAACTTATTAACATAAAAGGATGAAAAGGCATCTAATGATTTGTTGAATGTAAGATCGGCGTCATTTGGCAGAAAATGGTGACCTGAGACCCCAATTAAATGTGCCCCACAGAGGACGGAATCAAGATGAATTACCTCGAGAAAAGGCTTGCCACCTCGAAAGTCTGGCTCAATGATCCACATACCTGTCTCATCACATGGCTCATCTCTGACAATGGAGAACCAATGTACAAGTGCACATGGGTGCTTGGCATCTTCATGGGTAAACGAAAAGAAAAGGAGCGCACGAGCAACAAGAAGGCTCATCATGCCTGATGTGTCTCGTGCATCACTATTTCCCACAAAAATGCAATCTCGACATGGTGCTCTACCATACCACGATCTCGTGGATCGAATGAGCTCGTGGCGGAGACCACCAAGGCCTGACAGGTCGCTGGGTGCATAGAAGACAGCTTGGGCAGAGGTGTAGATGTAGGACTTGCCATCCAACAAAGGTAGTTGATCTTGAGGAACCCGTGAAGCAGAGATTTCAGTGTCAGGGTGGATCTTGTCATACAGAAAACAACGGGTAAGGAGAGGAAGTTGAGGTTGTTGGATCTTGCGAGCGAGTGCATAGATATCTCATGGAAGCTTTCGAACTGCAAACGTGTACTGTCAGTTCACAGCCATGTGGAAAAGAAAGACACACACCAGGATTTCTTGCAAGGGTTATCTCTGAATGAGACTCCGGTTCATCCACCACATCGTCTATGGCACCAGATTCCTCCTGTGATTGGCCATGGTTGACAGTTGGTGGTGCTGGCCATGCTGCAGTAGGTTGGGTGCATGAGGTATAATCCAAAGGTGGATACTGCATGCAGACAAGATCGAGCAGAGGTCCAACGACACTGGGACCAGTGAGCATCCCTCGGGATGTGAAATCGACATGAGCAGTGGCCAATTTGTTGAGTTGTTGGTTCATCACCAACATCTGATCTAATGGCTTGTTGCGACTCGACCGGTGGTAGGGGTGTTTGACCGCCTTGATGTGCTTGGATTCTGTTATTGATGAACAGAGTCTGTTCAGGGCCCCAAATTGAGTGATAAGGAAAGGATAGTGAGAGAGTGTCACATCCCATTCCTGAACCCATTGTTCCATTGTCCCATTGTTCATTGTTCTGGTTCATCAATGGGCTTTCCCTTCATTGTTCTATTCATTATTGTCCTTATTGTTCTCTGTCATTGTTCTGCTGGTATTCATTACATAACCTAGATCTTCTCCATTGTTCTCAATAGTATAAGTAGCTAGGTAGTGAACTGGATTCCCCAGCTTGAATCTCAACCTTGACAACCCCTCTGCTCTATTGTTCATCCTCTGTCTCCTGGGCCTTGGCCAGGATGACTTCTTCTTGTCTCTTCTTTGTCAAGACCAAGGCAGTTCCTGTAAATTGGGGACAACCAGATGATGTGTAGGGGCACAGCACAAGAGCATGCTGAGGCCAAGTCCCCCCCTCTGTTCAGGTCATTACAGAGAGAGAGTGCTGCCATGGAAGGGAGAAACCTTCAGGTCGAACCTCAAGATCCCGAAAGATCTCACGATGCTTGTGGAATTTGGCTAGCGTCTTCTCAATTTTGGAGAGGGAGTCTTCATCAATGACGTTATGGTGAACCAGGTAGCAGAACTCGATCAAATCTGCAACAGTCTGTACCATCTTCTTTGGCACATGGCCAGCAATGGCCAGCAAGTAGACTTAATTTTCATGACTCAGTATGTTGCAGAGTTTGAAAAGATATCAGCAAACTCACCTTCATCAGACCTTTGGAGTCATTCCCTGTCCACTGCTTAAATCCACATCCTTGATGAAAGTGACGAAGGCCTGGGAACAATGGAACGATGGCAATTCTAATAGGAATACTAGTGATGAGGAACGAGTAAGGTGCCTGTCATGAAACAATGAAGCGTACCATCGATCAATGTCTGTGAGAATTTTATTGGCTTTGCTCTTTGTATTGTTCTGCTTGATATACTGCTCAACCCAATCGACAATATGGTCTTTGAAGGTGCCTTTGATGATCTGGTGAAGGAGGTCCGGGGCAAGAAGCTTGTGGATATCTGCCCACAGAAAGTTCATTGTAAAGGGCTAGATAATGATAACAGAAACAGTCAGTAATCAAGCAAAGATTATAGATCGATGGCACATACAACAAGATCTCCAACGATCCCATAAGCAGCCATGTCAGCTAGAATTCTATATCAAATACTGTGTCTAAGTAGTGTGACGGGATCAGTCCTGACTGCCATAATGCAGTCCCCCTAGCCCGAGACAATGTGGAAGGGTTTCTGTGGCTCCCGGGGCTGCTCCATGTGTGCAGGACATGTCAACATAGCCAAACAATGCAGGAAACAGTGCCCGGACACTGTTTGCCCTCATTCTCAGGGTGTTTGGCACCATTTTTGGCAGGGAAAAAGCGGATATGGGGTCTCCTCATTATTCTGCACATTCCCCAACCATTTCCCCCACTGACGGGGGGCAGGAATAGGCTGGATTGGGAGGGGGACACATGGATGACACGGCACAGGTGCGCGTGATGGAAATTCCCCATTTGGAAGGTGGTTCATTTCCAGGTGCTGCTGGCAGTAATCCTGGCATATTTCACTCATTTCTGGGCCGATTCTCTTGAATAAAAAAATACCATAAATCGTAGGATAATCGTAGCTTTCCGTAGACCCCTCAAACGTGAGATTCTGACCATATTTGGTGGCTGCACAGCCCAATTAATGCCCTGCACCTCGAAAATGCGAAAATGCGGCCTCACTGGGCCCCCTCCCATGCATCCCCTGGCTGGGACAGGTGTTCGTTCATGAACAAGCATGTTATTGAGTCCTATTGGCCAAAGAATATCAGCATTACCTGCAAAACTGCGTGCATAATTGCCTAAACAGTGAAATTCGCTAAAAATAGCCCAAAAGCGCACTGGATTCTCTACCCCTTGCAGGGAGCAGACCCTCGGGACACCTTGGCGGTTTGGTAGGGGACATATAGTGCTTTCAGAAGACATATTTTACATAGCCTCGCGTGCAGTATTCATGGCTGTACACTGAAATCACTGATTTCGCACAAAAACACCAAAATGCACACCATTACCCTCCTCAAAATCCCCCTTTCACACTCAGATAACTGGTCATATATGCTCCCCTGCATTAACCCTATCGAATTGTCACTTTTCTTTGGTTATATCTCCCTTACAGCCTTTTCTATTCCACCCTTCTCCTCCTCCCCCTCCAAAATCGAAAATGCGCACTGAAAATTCTCCTTCCCTGCACTTCCAGGAACTCTGATACATATTTGAAACTCTTTAGTATATCGTTGAGTACTCACCTGCGGGCCCATGTCTCAAAATATACAAATCCACAATTGCAGGACACATATTCCTGTTTTCCTTGGTTTCCTCCTAGTGTTTCACCTCTCCTGGGCTCAATTCCTGGCTGATCCTGAAGAAAATGTGTTCCCCATACTCAGGAAGAATGGCCTTTCAAATATAGATACCCCCAAGAACACATTTCAGACCACTGAGATAACAGCAACTCACACTGATTGGCCATTTCAGAAGGATCAGAGACATAATTATTTAATCAGACACTACAGAAAGCTCGTACAGATGTGCCATGTCATTCCCCAAAAAGTTTCAGGATGATAGAGTCAATGTGGAAAGCAGGAGGCTCAAAAATGCGCCAGGGAAAGACCATTAATGAGTGGTGATCACCAGGTTTGCTATAGCTAATTATGTTTCCTAACCATGTCTTTGGTTACCCTCTCTCATAGATCTTCCATACCTTTGGGGGACCATAGTATTTCAAGACTATTATATATTCCCTATTCAAAACACATTTTTCCATGATTTTAGAGGGAGTAGACGGACCTGAATTCAAGGGGGAGTGTCTGTGTTTGCCAAATTGGCTGGCAGAAGGACAACATTGTTCATAGAATATTCAATTCTGCATATAATTTGTTCGGACTTTGTTCAGGATACTCTGGAATATTATGGTAACATATTCCGAGCTCCAACAAAAGGATGGATGAAGTACAGAGTGTGCCAGAGCGATGCCATTGTCCCCATCAATAAATCCGGAAATTTCTGGAATAAGGAAAGCGCACCTGTTGCAGAGGCATTGGGGACCTCCTTGCTGAAATAAAAGAGTAGGAAGTATCATGGGAGGTTGTCTGGACAACTACAGTAGTCACATATATAATTATTTGTCCAAAGCAGGGGGATACTGGCCAGATTAATGTACTGACAGATGTGAGGGAGGAAGGAGTGATTGATTTCGTCTCCCATGTACCAAATGAGTGGATTATACTGCATATTAGGAGAAGAAACTACTGTGAGCTAGTAGGATATGATCCCAAAGGGCAAGAAGCCCAAAGTGAATCACCCAGGGAGGGGTAATGGTGCGCATTTTGGTGTTTTTGTGCGAAATCAGTGATTTCAGTGTACAGCCATGAATACTGCACGCAAGGCTATGGTCAGAATCTCACGTTTGAGGGGTCTACGGAAAGCTACGATTATCCTATGATTTATGGTATTTTTTTATTCAAGAGAATCGGCCCAGAAATGAGTGAAATATGCCAGGATTACTGCCAGCAGCACCTGGAAATGAACCACCTTCCAAATGGGGAATTTCCATCACGCGCACCTGTGCCGTGTCATCCATGTGTCCCCCTCCCAATCCAGCCTATTCCTGCCCCCCGTCAGTGGGGGAAATGGTTGGGGAATGTGCAGAATAATGAGGAGACCCCATATCCGCTTTTTCCCTGCCAAAAATGGTGCCAAACACCCTGAGAATGAGGGCAAACAGTGTCCGGGCACTGTTTCCTGCATTGTTTGGCTATGTTGACATGTCCTGCACACATGGAGCAGCCCCGGGAGCCACAGAAACCCTTCCACATTGTCTCGGGCTAGGGGGACTGCATTATGGCAGTCAGGACTGATCCCGTCACACTACTTAGACACAGTATTTGATATAGAATTCTAGCTTATAGAAGTGATAATCGTCCCACAGCTCCTTCAATTCAACACCACCTGAATTAACTAATGTATCCGTATGAAGGTGTGTGCGTGGAACTGCTCCTGGTGCGTCAAGATTATCAGGGGGCGAGGTACATCTGTCCAATAAAGTGTCAGCAGAGAAATGCGTCACTTTTTGAGAGATCACATACTTTGGACACCAGTTCTGCATGATGCAGGCAAGAAGTGCCTGCTCTGGATAGTCAGCAATATAAGGACCCAGACCATAAATAACTCGTCGGTAATGGCCATCTGCACAACAAGTAACGCGAGGCTTGACCATGTGGGGCTGAAGAGATGAGAGTATATGCTCGAGTGATGAATGAAAGAGTTGGCATTGGAATTTGCAAAAATCAGCCTTGTCGGCATATTCGCATGTGGCTACATGAGAGCAATCGATCAGCACAACGATAAGAGATCACTGCGACATGTACTGACTCTTTGGTATTGCCAGAAATGCCACCAGCAAGACAGTGTTTCAGTGTGCGTGGCATACTGAGTTGTGGACATTTCCGAGTGAGATGTACAAGGGGTAATAGTCATTTTGCCCTATTGCGACCGAAACTGTTGTTTTATCACTCCTGAGAATGACTGGGGCAAACATGGCCCCATGGGTGTCGCCATCCTGGGCAATTTTGTCCTGAAATTGAGATTATGAGTGTGTACATCAACTGGACTAACAACTCAAACATGACACACCGCTTGCTCCCAAGCCCAATTCCCTGTCATCAAGTCCTGGTATTGATGCTTTCCCTTATGAAAGACCTGCTTTGGAGCATAGTCCATCTCATTCTTGAAGTCTGGATTGCCAATCTGGTTGTCGAGGACCTTGAGTGGGTCATGAAACCACACCTCGTAAGTTTGATCCATCCACGGTGGTTGCGGCATGTCACTGTCTGCTGGGCTGCCATTGTACTGGACTGAGAAACTATCCCAGGTGACCTCTCCCTGCTTGATGCTATCAATCATCGCATACATTTCCTTGTGGTCTGCTACATGAGGGGTTTGCTCTGGATTGTAATGACCTGAACAGAGGGGGGGACTTGGCCTCAGCATGCTCTTGTGCTGTGCCCCTACACATCATCTGGTTGTCCCCAATTTACAGGAACTGCCTTGGTCTTGACAAAGAAGAGACAAGAAGAAGTCATCCTGGCCAAGGCCCAGGAGACAGAGAATGAACAACAGAGCAGAGGGGTTGTCAAGGTTGAGATTCAAGCTGGGGAATCCAGTACACTACCTAGCTACTTATACTATTGAGAACAATGGAGAAGATCTAGGTTATGTAATGAATGCCAGCAGAACAATGACAGAGAACAATGAAGACAATAATGAATGAAACAATGAAAGTAAAGCCCATTGAAGAACCAGAACAATGAACAATGGAACAATAGAACAATGGGTTCAGGCATGGGATGTGATATGGATACAGGGCAGCCAGCAGCTGCAGCAATCTGTCGATGTTGCTTGCAGACATTTCAACATCCTTGTAAAGAAGCTTGGCAAACTCAAATTCTGCACGCGTCTCGAAAGGGAAGAAGTCGTCACTTTTTGGAACAGGTTGTGGGGCTGAATCAGGTGGCAGGTCAAAACCGTCAATATCGCAAGGGATTCCTAATGGAGCCACAATCTTGAGTTACATCTCTAACATTGTCATTGAGAGACTTACCATCGAGAATTGGATGAACCTTGATTGTGAGGCGATGAGGGTTATAGGCAGAATTGCCATGGTGTAAGGGGACTCGAGGGGTTTGAATAGGACTGCTGGACAGAGAGCGCCGTGGAGATCGACGTGAGGAGAAGTGGGGAGAGGAGGGATGAACTACATCCTCATCTGAATGATTGGCAGATGGCAAGGAATTATTCAGGCCAGAACTTTGAGCAGGTCTTGTGGGCTGGATTGAGGGGGGTTGAAGGGCTGCTGGAACTTGATGAACACTCTGGAAATGTTGCTGGAGACCAGACGGCGTGGTGCATTCCTTCCTGCACCCTGGCTCCATGCAGTGGAAGGCTTTAACCTTGAAAGTTTTTTGGTGGCGCTGCATATTGTGGGACAAGGATAAATGGACAACAGAGTTGGGATAGTATTCATTGAGCAAACAAGTTACGATGTGTGTGATCACGCCATGTTGAGATCTTGATAAGGGAAATTTTTGCTGGTTGCATTCCACCTCTATCATGGCCTCTGGTGTGCCTCTCCCCTTCTCTCTCCGTCCAAAACGTAATGCCCATCCTGGTGCTGTGGATAAGCCATGAGAGCGACGTACTACAGAAGAGGTCCAGGCAGAGCGAGAGGCAAAGGAGCAGGAACAGCATGCAAAGGAGCAGAACCGCAGGGACACAATCCAGAAAACAGCTGAAGTTGAATTGGTGACTCTCCAAGCCCATGAAGAGAAGCTCAGAAACGCTCACAACCCCCCTCCAGTGGCCATCAACCAAGTTCTATGCCCCCGCACGTCAAACAACAACAGCGGTGCCCCAAACTGTGAGTTTACCCCTCCTTTCCCTCTCTTGTCTAATCCATCAGATACGCAGCAGACAAAGTTGTTGAGGAGGTTCAAGATCTGTTGAGTGACAGCAGCGAGGAGTACAAATTGCCAGAGAAGCCTGCTGAATTGTTAGAGAGCACCAACTCTGGAGAGGACAAGCTCCTCGATCCATCTGACGGTGAGATCCAGACAACCAAGAAATGCAGTAAACGAGCAGAGAAGGGAGATCTGAGAGCAGCAGTTCAGAAAGAAGGTAATCAGCGGATGGTGGTTCAAGAAGAAGGGTTGGGAAAGTGCAAGGCTCCCGAGAAGGAACCATCGTGAGTGATGTATCTTAAGTTAAAGGCTCACCTTCCTAACCATACACTTTGGAGACACCGTGGGTGCACAAAGAGGAAGAAGCACGTAAGCAAGGGCCTCTTGAGCGACTGGAGGAAGAGAACTTCAGAACAAATTGAAGCTGAGATGGAAGATGACAGTGCTAACATACCCAATATTGTGGACAGCTGTGAATGATCTAGCTCTGCTGGCTCTGCGATGTCAGTTTCGAGCCGCAGTTTACCACCAACTCGACCAGAATCTGAAGATGAGCTTGGTGGTCTGAGCAACAATGAAGGTGGTGGTGACGAACGTCGGGCAATTGAAGCCAATGGTAAAGGAATAAAACTGGCCTACTATGCAGGCGGTTCAATGAAGAAGATGCAGCAGGTAAGTTGAATCAAACATCCATCAGTCCTTCAATGTCACTGATTATCTCACAGGTTCACTCACTTGCCAAAATCATTCCCACCATGTCCATTCCCACCTTTGCGCTGCCAGCTAAAGACCTTCCTCAGGCAAAGGAACAAATCAGGATGGCGCACCTGCCTGCTCAACTCATGGTTCCCTTTGAGGAGATTCTTGTGCCTCGCCTTCATGTGATCTTCGGAGTAACAGCCTCCTGGGAGTCACCATCGAACAATGAGATCCAGAAGGCATGGAAAGCATCTTTCCCACAAGAGAAGCCTCTTGAGTTCCATACTCCCTTGGGAGTCATTGTCAAGAAGCTGGTAAGTGGTTAGATTCTGCGAGAACTGACTACTGATGTGGGATCCATAAGGTCCTTGATCGTCTCTCGAGTTGGAAGAGCCTAATTGGCAATGCGGGAATCCTGGCCCTCCAGAAGTGTGTCTTTCCACATCAGCCAATACAGCTAGTGAAGTGTTTAAAACTGGGGAACTCCCCAGAATGCTGGATGCATCGGGGTGGGGAGTTGCCCATCCATGGACCCCAGACCACCCCCTGCTGCTGGGGAGGGCTGGGGATGACCGTTTCAGTGACAGAAAAGGCTTGGGAGGGGTTTGATGAGACCCGGGGACTGTTCTGCATCCTTTCTGGGACAATCTGGTATGGGGGAGGAGGTGAATTGGCCTGTATGGGGTGCCACATTACCTTGGCAGTGCGCTTTTTTTAGATCCATGGCTATTTTTAATTTGACAGCCCATGACATCAGAGAATGATGTCACTGATCTGAGCCATCAATTCTTGATGCCTCGCCTCGGAGAATCCGCCTTTCTGGCTGTGGCTATTCCCAATGCGGACATAGGGGGATTAAAATAGGCTCTGCTGGCCTCATCCATGGCTTATTTCGTTACACCACACCTCTTAATGGACAAAACAATTATGCGATAATATTATACATAATTTTAGCTTTCTGTAGATGCCAAGAACATCAGGAGAGACCTATTTTTGGTAAAGATATGGTGCAAACAGTGGTTTATACACCAAAAATGCGAAAATGCGCACTAAATGTGCCCCTCTCATGCCCCCCTGACTCAAATAACCTATGTGATAATTTAGGGTAGTGTATTACCTTTAATTTTACCACTTAAAATTGGTTGTGCAGGCAGTATTGACTATGCTATTCCCTTATAGAGCGCATTTTCTAAAAATAGAAAAGAAGCGCACTCAATTCTCTACCATTTGCAGGCATCTAATCCTCAATGCAGGTCAGCGATTCTATAGAGAATATATAGAGCTTTCAAACGAGCCCTCCCGCGTGTTCACGCGCTCAGTATTGCAGCTTATATTACAGGATTACCCCTCATGCATGGCAATTTATCGATGGCTGCACATCCGTGCAGAATTCCGGCTTCCCCTCGCATTATTTCGCTTAGATTTGGCTGAGCGAAATGCTGGGTACATTAATACCTTCTAGTAGACACCCTTATTGCATGAAACGGGTCGAAACTCGTTGAGATATGATGAACACGATTTTGCTGCTATAATACATGGTGCACCATGCATCCTCAGGCATGTTTAGGGCCATTTGAGTCGGCCAAAAATGATGAAATACATGCCTGAGAGTAATGGCAGCTTGCATAATGCCAGGGGGTGTCTGGGTGTAGTAGATATGAGGGGGTATATAGGTACACCAGGAGACCCTCTCCAAATACCCCACTAAACGCAGCTCTGAAAGTCTGGAAAGTATATACGTGAATAGTGTATATTTATCCATGAATTTAACATATTTTATCATAATTTTATATTGCCTGGAAGTTGAGTTATTGACCAATTTCCCACGAGCTGAAATATTTTATTGACCTCCAGGAGGGGGGATATTGGCACATGTAAAATCATGATAAATGACGATAAATGTATAGAAACAGATCGAGGTACTTGCGAAGGCAAGGGAATGAATCTGTGTAAAGTTATTAAGGGGAGAAGGAGGAGGTAATCCCCCACATCAGTATCTATGTAAATACTTACCAAATCCACATATCGCACCTATTCAATGGTCAGGCCTTCAACATATTTCAGTAGTGACGGATGAGGCTCCGATGCCTGGGGGAAATGGTATTAGAGAAAGAGCTGAAAATGCGCGAAAAACACGAAAATAATTAAAATGGGTACCTCGGACTTGTTCAAAAATTACGAAACTTCGTATATGAGGATATATTAACATTCTGAAGAGACTGCAAAAGACCGGATGAGATTCCGACCAGTAGGTGGAAAGATATGCGAAATGAACTCCAAAAGCACCAGATGCAACACAAAGTTGTCACAGGATGTTGATGCTCTTGCTGTCATTTGGAGTTCATTTCGCATATCTTTCCACCTACTGGTCGGAATCTCATCCGGTCTTTTGCAGTCTCTTCAGAATGTTAATATATCCTCATATACGAAGTTTCGTAATTTTTGAACAAGTCCGAGGTACCCATTTTAATTATTTTCGTGTTTTTCGCGCATTTTCAGCTCTTTCTCTAATACCATTTCCCCCAGGCATCGGAGCCTCATCCGTCACTACTGAAATATGTTAAGGGATATTATCCTGACCCGAACGCACCATTGAATAGGTGCGATATGTGGATTTGGTAAGTATTTACATAGATACTGATGTGGGGGATTACCTCCTCCTTCTCCCCTTAATAACTTTACACAGATTCATTCCCTTGCCTTCGCAAGTACCTCGATCTGTTTCTATACATTTATCGTCATTTATCATGATTTTACATGTGCCAATATCCCCCCTCCTGGAGGTCAATAAAATATTTCAGCTCGTGGGAAATTGGTCAATAACTCAACTTCCAGGCAATATAAAATTATGATAAAATATGTTAAATTCATGGATAAATATACACTATTCACGTATATACTTTCCAGACTTTCAGAGCTGCGTTTAGTGGGGTATTTGGAGAGGGTCTCCTGGTGTACCTATATACCCCCTCATATCTACTACACCCAGACACCCCCTGGCATTATGCAAGCTGCCATTACTCTCAGGCATGTATTTCATCATTTTTGGCCGACTCAAATGGCCCTAAACATGCCTGAGGATGCATGGTGCACCATGTATTATAGCAGCAAAATCGTGTTCATCATATCTCAACGAGTTTCGACCCGTTTCATGCAATAAGGGTGTCTACTAGAAGGTATTAATGTACCCAGCATTTCGCTCAGCCAAATCTAAGCGAAATAATGCGAGGGGAAGCCGGAATTCTGCACGGATGTGCAGCCATCGATAAATTGCCATGCATGAGGGGTAATCCTGTAATATAAGCTGCAATACTGAGCGCGTGAACACGCGGGAGGGCTCGTTTGAAAGCTCTATATATTCTCTATAGAATCGCTGACCTGCATTGAGGATTAGATGCCTGCAAATGGTAGAGAATTGAGTGCGCTTCTTTTCTATTTTTAGAAAATGCGCTCTATAAGGGAATAGCATAGTCAATACTGCCTGCACAACCAATTTTAAGTGGTAAAATTAAAGGTAATACACTACCCTAAATTATCACATAGGTTATTTGAGTCAGGGGGGCATGAGAGGGGCACATTTAGTGCGCATTTTCGCATTTTTGGTGTATAAACCACTGTTTGCACCATATCTTTACCAAAAATAGGTCTCTCCTGATGTTCTTGGCATCTACAGAAAGCTAAAATTATGTATAATATTATCGCATAATTGTTTTGTCCATTAAGAGGTGTGGTGTAACGAAATAAGCCATGGATGAGGCCAGCAGAGCCTATTTTGATCCCCCTATGTCCGCATTGGGGATGAGCACAGCCACAGCCAGAAGGCGGATTCTCCGAGGCGAGGCATCAAGAATTGATGGCTCAGATCAGTGACATCATTCTCTGATGTCATGGGCTGTCAAATTAAAAATAGCCATGGATCTAAAAAAAGCGCACTGCCAAGGTAATGTGGCACCCCATACAGGCCAATTCACCTCCTCCCCCATACCAGATTGTCCCAGAAAGGATGCAGAACAGTCCCCGGGTCTCATCAAACCCCTCCCAAGCCTTTTCTGTCACTGAAACGGTCATCCCCAGCCCTCCCCAGCAGCAGGGGGTGGTCTGGGGTCCATGGATGGGCAACTCCCCACCCCGATGCATCCAGCATTCTGGGGAGTTCCCCAGTTTTAAACGTTTCAGCTAGCAGATATTGGTGTCCACATCTTCCTGCTAGTGAAGGAGACTGGATTGAGGTTCGACAAGAATGGTGCACATGGGCTGTTTCACGCTCCGAAGAGGACCACCCATTCTATTTTGCTGGAGTTGTCGAGGACGAGGAGGGAAATGTCATGTCTCAAACGGTGCAAGCCATATTTTCATTAGCAATACCTGATGCACTAACGTCGGTTTCTTGCAAAGGGGATCTTTCAATCAACGATTATCGCCACCGTCCTCGGGGTGCATATTAATAGCATCAATCCATTTCCCATCGATGTGAAGGCTGACCGACCTGTCAGTGCACTCGTCCTGGCGATTCAATCCGTCCGTGTCTTTCTGCAATTCATCCTCGATGTTACCTCATTATTATTTTAGGCCAAGCGTGCAATCTTGTTCCACTCAACAGGTGTTGAAGTGCGGCCACGCCGTTCAGCGAGCGACTTCTTGAAGGCCAACTGGGGGGATCATGTCAAGTATGACATTCATGGGAAAGCATGCCCAGTATACCCCACATCTACCCTCGTCGATCTTGTCAATCAATTGAAGCTGAAACAGTGGGAGAAGATCCTGACCACCGCCGTTGATGCCTTGAAGGTCAGTTTGGCTGTTGAGAACTCAAGCAGTAGTACTACGAGCGCGTCGCCGGTGCCTGCAACTACCAACAGACCCAAGCCACAGCTGAGGGATGATGACGCCAACATCGAGTAGATATATTTCAGTTTGCAGTGTATATGGTGCTTGTATAATGATAATCTACCATTTTTAATACTCTATCTGACACTTTATGCCCCTTCAAAGTTATCTTTGAGCTGTCTTAGGTCCACTTTGAGAGAGGTCCTCAAAGGGGTAAAGCACTTTCAAACCACTTTGACGGGTAAGCAACATAAGTTCCTAAAGGGCCGAACACCTTTGGCCCTTCAGCCACTTTTTGCCCCTTTGACCACTTTGAAAAGCGGCTCAAAGCGGCAAAGCACTTTTTGTACTTTTACTGATGTTCAGCATTTGAGCCCAAAGGTCATAGTTGAGAGGGTGGTCATCCTTTAGTGGTTAACTTAGTAACCAGGTTGCATAGTGTATATATTTGTACATAGTGAGCAGGCTGCCATCAAGCACTGCCATATAAATTGTTGATCAAGAAAAATAGCTTAGATCAACTTGTATCAACTTGGTGCAAGTTGAAATGCAATCCAAGTTGATCCAACTTGGTCCAACTTGGTCCAACTTGCTTAACCCAGGGGGAGAGGAAAGTCCTCACAAACATGTATGCTATGTGACCTGGTTACTAAGTTAACTACTCAAAGACAACTGCCCCCCCAACCAAGACCCTTTGGGCTCAAACACTTAAACTCCCCAGAGGGCAACCTACCTTGCAAAAATGGTGCATTGGGATAAGGGGAGGAGACCATCAAGGTCTCGCTACACCCCATAGTTGTTGGATGCTGTTTTGGGGCCACACAGCGCAAATGAGATAAGAACAGCACCACCTGAGATGTGGCAAGGTGTCTTGAGGCTGAAAAGCCAGAGAAGCACCTGCCCAAAACCAGACACAGAAAGTTAGCGACACTGCAGCCTGCCATAGTGGCAGGTTGCATGCATGAATAAGTAGACAAGGGTGCAGGTCTCCAAACCCTAAGGCTCAAGGGTGTCAATTCACCAATAAATACTCCAAGAGGAAGAATAACCCTGCCCAGGCTGATTATCCGATTCCTGTAGGGTCTTGGTTGAAGCCAAACACTGTGGGGTCTTGCTGATGAGATTGAGAATGCAGATGGTGTCCATCTTACATGGGGAGGGTTTCTTCTTACTGCTGTGATGTCTGGCAGTGACTATTCAACTGGAGTTTATGGATTTGGTGCTGGCATTCAAGGCTCCTTGATTGCTCAATCTTGCAAGGAGTATCTTGGCTGGAAGACCAAGATGACCTTAACACAAAGATTCAACAATATGCTATGGAAGGAGGTGTTTTTTTGAGTTATCACATTGGTAAGTCTTACCCTTCCTCTATCAGAGCCAGCTTCAATTTGCTTGTTTTTCAAAGATAAACACCATCTACAATGATAATCAGCAAAAGCTTCTTGCCCCAACAATCCAAGCACCATTGAGGAGTGTTGCTTTTTGGGATAGAAAAGGGAGGCCAGACAAGTGGGCATGTATCTCTGTATCTCCCAGCAACTTCATTGTGTTGCTGGGGATGGATGGTGCCATTGACACAAAACACTTAAATCCATTCAAGGTCTGGATTCTGAAAGGCGGGCTTGATCCCAAAATCCATTCATTCAACTTGGAGAAGGACACAAAGACTTGAGCTGGCTGAGACAAGAAATGATGCTGTGTGCAGATGTTGCAGGCTCAGATTCAACCTCATCACATGTCATCTCTCGACCCAGGTCCTTCCACCATTCAAGCACCCATCAATTGTCCCCAACTAGGGCTGGTCACCGTACCGTATACGGCTATGGCCGTAAAAATACGTCTGTACTCAGCATGACAAAATCTAGGTACAGTACGGTGACCGTCCGTACCCATCCATTACGGTTTACGGACGGTGGAAACAGGCACATCAAATCCTAGGGGATGAACTAAGGTGGGCTTGTCAGTAGTAGAGAATCAGCACTGGGTCTGGGGTGTGCAATACTGCGCTAAGTCCCCCTGCTCTCTCACGGTATATCTCTGTCAATGGGACCTAATTAAGCATTTTGAATAACTTCAGGAGCTTCATATAGTATAGCAATTGGTTTGTTTACCCTAGCATATCCATGTGTATTTCACGTCCCAAATGCCATAATCCATCTTGGACTCAGTATGTGGAGTCCGGACGGGCAGCCACTTGGGCCACTGCTTCATGCTAAGCCTCTTGTTCTAAGAGATCCATGGCAATTTTACTTATTTGTAGATTATGGAATGCTCGACAGTGTAGATAGGCGACGAGTCAAGTACAAATTTCACAACTATTTGTTGTTGCAGTCAGGCCGCGACTCTACTGAGAACTTGAGTTCACGCAGGAATTTTTGGGAAAGAGACTGAAAAGGGTTATGGAGGCTTGCTCTCGAGGGCTCCTTATATATATCCTGTACCTAGACCATTTCGACATAATTCTACATAATTCCTATACTTTCCTGATGAGAGAATGTCAGAGACGAGTGTCAAAGGTTCAACCTCGGCCATCTCAGCGAGAGCAGCGGTGTTCCCAGCTTGCCGGATTCCAACAATCTCGCTGCTTATTTCAGATTTAGGCTGCTTTGAGCATCGGATTCTTGAGATCTGGGCTCTTTCAAGTAGTACAACACTGTTGCCGTATTTATGGCCGTTATGCCGTCTATATATGGCTGTCTTGAAGGTGTCACACAGCTTAGACGGTACGGGACCGTAATTGCATTACAGTGCCGTACCACCGTACCAGTACGGCACGGTGTCCAGCCCTATCCCCAACAACCATGCAAGGTCAAGCATACCCCTTCTTCTGAGGTTGAGATTGTGAAGCATGTCATTGAGATTGGGGACTCCCCACCCCTGAGCCAAAAGTGTCCATACCATCTTGTGTTCAATGAGGACATTATTGATATTAGCAACTAGTACATAGGTAGATCTGTCTTAATTTCTGTTGCATACATAGCATGTAATTCTACTTATTCTATTCATTGCTGTGATGGGACTTGTCCCAGTTCTTGAGATACCTCAGGAGCCTCTAACTAAATGCTTGAGCTTGGTACTCATCAAAAAGTGGCCTCAAATTGAAAAGAACTCTAAGAAGGCAGGCAATGGGCCCTCAATGGATGGCCAAGAGCAGAGCCAACACATAGTGCTAATATCTAATTTAGAAATTGCCTATAAACAGAAAGCAAGGCAATAATGAGAGGAAATAAGATAGAGAAATGAAGAAATGACAATGAGAAGCATAGACAAAAAATGAAATGCAATGAAATCTACAGGCAAAGCAATGAAATAGAAATGAAATGCTACAATGAAATTAGGGGGGCAACAATGAAAGACAATTATGAAATCACTTCAGTGAGAAATGAGAATGAAAAGATAGGGCAAGTATAATGAGACCATCTCATTGAATATTGGGCAATATACATAGGGCTTGTAGAGCAATTGCCTCTATGATATGATAAATGGTGGTTGCCATTAGTGTATGATAAGTGTGCCAGATTTGATGTTGTAGAGGTGAAGTGTTGTTGAGCAATATGTTCATCATTCAAAAAGTTTCAAACTCCTGGGATGGTAAACTGATGAAATGAAAAATTTGTCAAACAGGTCACAGGTCACAAATTGAATGTTTTAGTACAGTGGATGACTTTCCTTAACAAATTTGAGGCTCTAAAGTAAACGACAGGGTGCCAGCATCGGGGATTGAAAGAAAGAAGGGGAGTTTCCAGATGTTGTGGCCTGGAATTTCGGGCCTGGCAAAAAGGGCAATGGGGCATGAATAAAGCATGCCATTGTCAGGAACATTCATAAAAGGGAGGGTTGAAGCCTGGAATGAGACTTTAGAGCTAGGAAGGGAGTGCTTACCCTCCACCTAGATTTTTCGTTTGAAATGAATGTTGAAGAGAACGGAGAACGAAATATTTTCCAGGGTACTGACAGGCGACAGCAGCATCCATCAGCCTCACCCTTTGAAACGAGAATTTGCATTTAGAACGGTCTCCAAATGTTAAGGAAAGTCATCCAGTACTACTTTTGTCCCTGGAGGGCTGTTATAGCTCTATTATAACTCTTGAACTGATGTTCTAGAAAAAACCAGTGAAAAGTCATGACAGGAAAGCACAAGCTTGCAGCATCCATATCTGGGCATATCCTCCCTTCTGAGCAAGTAACTGCTCATGAGTCCCTTCCTCGAGTACTTCTGCATCATTCATATATCTGGAGCACAGAGGGGACCATCAAATTTATGTAGGTAGCAGAGTTGAGGGAGAACTTACAGAATTAGATCAGCATGTCTGGTAAGGTTGCCAAATCTATGTGAAGAGAAGATCATTGTCTTGCTGCCTCGGAGGTTCCGTAGGCGCTCGAACAAATCTAGACACTTGAGAGTTAATAACCAGCAAGAACCACATGGAGTTTGAGCACACCATGTTCTGCTGTAGGATCAAGGCTCGCGGAAGGCTCGTCAAATAGCAGCAGCCCAACGGAGTTGTCGGAAACGACAGAACGCATGAACGTCCTTGACCTGTACACCCATTAATTATCCGTTCACGAGAGGCGGGACGGGAAACCCACAGTGCAATCCTCTGCATCTGACCTCCACTCAACCCTCTATTCCCTGCTCCGCCTCCTCCCTCCGCATTCGCCATCCCACCTGCCTCCCTCACGCGTCCATAATCAACCGGGCGGCCAAACAGGTCCGTCATGCCCTCGGGCAGCGTCGAATAATAGTCTCGTACCGGGCGCTCGAGGTACGTATCATACTTGTCAGGCAGACGCTCAATCAGTCCATCCGCCCCACCCAGCTCGGCTGCCCGGCGTATCTTGTCAAGGTCGTCCGCATGCTCAGGGTCTCCCAGGGCGATATTATCGCGTATCGAAAGCGGGAAGTGCGTATAATCCTGGAAGAGCACCGAGATGGCTCTCCGGAGGTCTGCGAGACGGAGGGTCCGGATGTCCGCGCCGTTGACGAGGATCAGCCCCTCCGTGGGGTCGTACAGCCGCGCAATCAGCTTGAGGATCGTGCTCTTGCCTGAGCCATTACTGCCGACAATGACCTACATACACAGGCGCGACGTGAGCTGAGTGACAGCAGACGCAGTGGAGTGGAGTGACGCGACGTACACAAAGCTCCCCTCGCTCGATCTTGAAGTTGATGTTCCGAAGCGCGTACTCGTCGCTACCTGGGTATTTGAACGACACGTTCCGGAATTCGATGCTGATGCCCAGCTCGAGGCTCTGCTGGTCTTCTGGAAAGGGGACGCCTAGGGAGGGATCATCCTCGTCGATGATGGAATCCTTCTTTGGCACGTGGACCTTGACGCGGTTTGGGATTTTTGTGACCTCGTACAGGTGTCGGACGGCAGCGAGCTTGTTGGCGATGGTGACGGTGTCGTCGAAGAGAGAGAAGGCGGTGTATGTGAAGCCTTGGGTCGTTTGTGTGATGAGGTTGAGAGAGGCGAGGGAGAGGGGTATGGAGGAGGGCCGTTGGACGGCGCGGAGGGCGAAAGCAATCTAGGGAAGGTGAGATGCCGCACTTGGTAGATGAATTATACAGACCTCTGGCATACTGCGGAGGACCTCTTGGATGAAGACGTTGATGGACAAGCCATCTCTGAGAGTGGTTGCGGACGCTACAACTTCATAAAAGTCGCCTGCGCGGTCTGCGATGCGTGCGACAGCCTGGCGGTATTCTAGAACGCGTGTTAGCAGACGTCAAGGTGGGGGAAGGCGTGACGTGCGGGCAAGGAGAGAAGGCGCAATTCCCGAGGCGACGATTTCCTTTCTGTGGATGGGGTTGGTGACGGCGCGTTTGAGGCCCTCGGACTTGATGTAATCAGGATCTGTGGTGGTAGCAGCCCAAACTGGAGGCTATGAGCGAGAGTGCGGGATAGAGACAGTTGAACATACCTCCGTGACCGATGAAAGGCTTATCGACCTTTGCCCACTGGAAAAACGCGTGTGCAAGGCAGAGGAAGACGAGGAGGGGACCATCTGGTTGATTAGAGAGGACGCTGACGAGGACGGGGAGTTGTGATGTGAGCTGGATGGCGGTGCTAAATAGACGAAGCGTTGCTGATACAGCGTCGAAAGCAATAGTAGAGTGGGGAGATTTTGGAAATGCCTGCTCGAGTTGATGTTGGACCGCAGGGTCATCGTAGGTAGGGACATCGAGACGGACGACGGCGTGGAAGATATGGACGGAGTAGTAGGACTTTATACGGCGGTGGAGGGGAGCTGATATGCGAGCTCTTGCATAGCGAAGGAGGCGAGTTGCTAGAGAGCAGGCGAGGCCGCCAGCGGCGACGGTGAAGAGGAGATGGGGGTCGACTGTTCTGTGATCAACTGCTGTCTGGACCTGTGGGGAGTTAGCGACATCCGAGGGTTCTAATGGCTACTCACAACTGTGAGGAGTTGGCCATGGAATGAGAGGGCGATGGCAGGGACGAGAGACGCGACGAGTTCGACGGTGACCCAGCCCGCCAGCAGGAGCCAGCACTCGCGGATGGACGCAATGTCCCTGAGCATGCGCACGACATAGGGCGCTGCGGTCTTGATAATAGCGTATGCCTCGATGCTGGGCCATCTCTTCCTTGGGAGAGTAGTCGGGTCCTCGTATATCTCCCATACGCCGAGCTTTGAGTGAGTGACATTGTTCGAGGTAGAGCGGAATGCCATGTGCTACTGTGACGTCACTACTGGTACTTGTCCTTGTAGATCCACGCGAGCCCGACATCGCTCTGTCCCTGCGCGACTGCTGCGCGGTACCACTTGGCCGCCCCCTTCTTGTCCTTCTTGCACCCCTTCCCGTTCGCGAGACAGAATGCAAGGTCGCTCTGCGCGTCCCCGTCGCCCAGGCGCGCTGCAACCGCGTAGTAGCTGACCCCCATCTTCTGGTCCTTCGCCACCCCCCATCCATGGAAGAAACACTGCCCGACCTCGTAGATCGCAAGCACAAGCTCGCTCTGCACCGCCCCCAGGTCAATCTCCCGCCCGCCCGTCCGCACCTTCTCAAGATCGCCCACCGCGTTCTCAGCTGCCTTCTGCACCCACTTGAACCCCAACGCCTCGTTCTTCACGCACCCCCACCCATGCCGTAACGCAAGCCCATACATCAGCATACCCACCCCGCACCCGCCGTCCTCCTTCGCCGCACGCTCGAAACATCGCACAGACTCTTGCAGTCGATTCGCTTCGTGGTATTGGATTCCGAGTTGCAGATAATCCTGTGGCGTTTGAGGCCCGTCCGACCCTTTGCTGCTCTGTGGTCGAGGAGACGCCGTCTGTGGCCGCTGCAGCTGATTGGGTTTGACACTGTCGAACTGGCTCCCAGTTGGTGATGGCACGGCGCCGTCATACTGGTAGTACGAGTACGTCGAGTACACGCTCGTCGCAGGTGATACCGGACGCATAGTTGACCCATGCAAGGGGTGCAGTTGACTTGTACTTGGCTGTGGTGATCTGCCCCGCTGCATGTCCACTGAAGGCCGCGCATCTCCGCCGACACCTCCCTGGCCAACGGCGACCGCATATACGGCTGCGGGCTTGCCTCCAAATTACCCCTCCTCGCATTCCTCTCCAACACCGCCTTCTTCTGCTCCCTCATATCCGCCGGTACCTGCACCTGCACCCGTTCCCCCACCGCCTCCTGCTCAGGCCGCGCCGCCTCCCGCACCGGCCTCGAGAAATTCGCCGTCACTGGTTTCACGATCGGCGTCCTGCCAGCCTTGACCTGCTGCCCGACCCCGCCCCCAATCGCATACGCTCCGTCCTGCTCCGCGGACGACACCACCACACTCGGCAGCCCCGCCCCCGAATCGCGGTAGTCCCCATCAGGCCTGCGCACTGTCCCACCCGTGTCCGTCGACCGCCACGAGTCGCGCAGCGCAGGCCCACCCAGCGCCGTCGTGTTCGAGTACACGCTCGACGCGTCGTCCGCAAAGTACCGCCCCGCGTCAAACTCCATCGCGCTGCCTGTGGGGGACCGCGCCGACCGTGACGGCGAGTGCGATGATGCCCGTCCCGTCCGCGCCGAGTCCATATCCCCGTAGTACGAGTTCATGTCCGACGCTGTCGCCACCGAGTCCCGCGCAAAGTGACTGTGCAGCAGCGGCGAGTGCAGCGTCTCCGCCATCGCGTTTGGCTTGATCTCCAGCCGCAGGTTCGCCATCTGCCTCCTCGGCCCCTCTGCGTCGACACCCTGCCTCTGGTCTTGTGCTGGAGCTTGGACATGGGAGTTGGGCCGGGAGTCGTCGTCCGGCTCGTAGTACGAGCTCGTCGCATACGCTTCTGAGAAATCATCCTCGTCTTCATCGTTGTATTGTTGATATTGCGCTTGGTACGGACGCTGGTGTTGTTGGGTATATCGCTGATCGCCGTCATATGCATTGACGGCAGAGCTAGACTCGGCCTGCTGCTGCCGCTGGTTGCCCCTGTGCACATCCCGCGGCCTCCGGACCTCATTTCCCTCGCCCGGTTGGCGCACCCGTCTCGACGACGTCCGCCTGACTAGCGTATCCAACGGCGACTCGTTCATGCGCATGTTGGGACTACTCGTATTCGAGTGTTGTGCGCCTCCGCCAGAGGAGGAAGCGAATGCGGAGGGTGGTGGCACGTACTGTGCGGCCATCGCACTCATGTTGTCGAGTATAGTGAGATGCTAGAATATAGTACAGTCGTTGAAGGTGTTTGGAGTGAGTTGAGGTGTTCAGAACGCCACGGATGCTGGAAAAATCGAGAATCAAGACGAGAGCGAGTGGTGCAGGGTCAGCGGATGAGCAGTTCTCGGGTTTACGTCAATAGCAATAGCCGATGAGTCGATATCAGACCCCGAGAGAACAGCGCAGTGAGTGGATTGCGAGGTTCAGCGTAGTAGGACGAGAATGAAGAGTGGTGGTGTGGGTAGAACAAAGTCATGGATCGAGGACAAGAGTTGCTTAGCTATCCTGTAATCGTGTTCTTGCTGATATCATCCCGCACACAACAAGACAACTTGCCGCCGCTCCCAGCCGCTGACCCACCGTCGTCGAGACCCACGATGTCCTTGCATCTCCTGTAGAGGTAAAAATCAAAGAGTTCGCTCGTCGGCGCAGCACTGCCCTTGGCCAGGACCGCAGCCTGCGCGCCTAATTAAACAGCACATCCCGAGGACCCTCACGAATAATCAATCTAATCCTTTCTTCAACAGCCGACCGAGCGCGCGACTCACTCAACTCCACTGTAAGACCCTTCTTTATCCGTGCATCTGAATCCTTGTTGCCATTGAGATAAGGAGCCCTCAAGCTATTCTTATCCTCCGAAAAGCCTGATATTGATTGATCCTTGGACCTCATTCACCAACGGAACGAATGCGACTCAGGCCCTCCGAAGCTCACTCTCTCCCATCTATCACACCGGCCGGCGGGTGTGACAACGTCAAGGTGCTCCCCGGGATTGATGTTTATCAGATTACAAGTAAAGCACATACACCTCCTCAAGTCAAGTCAAGTACTGTCGTAACCGTCTATGCCATCTGCGACTTCACGCAGCTTCGCAATCAGCGCCCACGCGAGACGTGGGTTAGATGCCCACTCTCCTCCGTGGTGTCTGCGTGATGCGCGCACCAGCGCCGACGCCCGTGTGGCGTGGCGTGCCCGGTACGATAATCTTAGACTTGCCCCCACCCGCTATCCGAGCCGCCTGCGCCTCGTCAGCCTGCTTCTTCGCCGACCTACACACACAAAGCAACGCGTTAGTCGGCGCTTTCTCGACACGAAGTATGAACGAAAAGCAGTGCTCACTCTTCTCGCTGACGAGCCATCTCCGTCTCGATCTCGGCCTTCTTCGAGAACTCTCTATCCGCCTGGCGTCTGTTACCCCGCTCGTCAAAGTTCTTCTCCTTCACCGAGTAGAATACAGATCCAAGTTCAGCTATATTCAGTGTGCGCGATTCCACGCATGAGCGGACATCCCGGAGTCCAAGTTCAAGCAGAAGAACCCACCTAGCCAATACGGGTCGATGGCCGTCACTTGTGTCATGTACTCCTTAGAGGTCAGAATAAGCTCGTGGTACACAATGTATGATGGTGTGTCTGAGGCCGCTGATCAACAATCGCAGTCTCCTTGTTTATGATCATCACTCACATCCTAGGCCGTAAAGAGCACTCGTTGGGTGGAGGTGCGTAGGCAGACCGGATCGGATGTTGACAAATTCTCCGATGCCCTTGACGCGAGCGGCTTGATGGAAGTAGCCTGCTGTAATCGCTTTTCTATAGACGCTACCTTTAGCAACCTTGAAAAGACAAGGCCAAACCATCGCCCACCTCACAACATCGAAATCAGTTCCGGTGGAGATGATGTCCATCTTTTGGAACTTCATAATGTCCTCTAGTTGAACACGAACTTCGCGTGCTTTCCGGAGCAGCTTGGGGTGGAGGAAGTGCCGCATTCCCCAGTCATCGCGGTATCTACAAACAACGAGTCAAGTCAGTTTCAGCCTCTTCAATAAGGCATATCTAGCGCCTACCCATGACTCTTCCATTGATTGAACACATTTAGCAGCGTCAAATGGTCGCTTTCGGGTACGTTAAACTTTTCGCGCGCCGCGTCCGCTTCTTCCATTCGCTCCTTGGGCCTGTAGAATACGCTCGGCACGGAGAGCATGGACACAATGGTCAGCATCTCCGCTGAGCACTTATACTCCACCGATGCTATCAGCATCTTGGCCATTGAGGGTTCCATGGGGAACTCTGACATCTTTCGCCCAACTGGTGTTAGGTCTCCAACGTTGTCCAGGGCGCCGAGGACCCAAAGCTGATACATGGAGTTCAAGATGTTTGCCTATAAAGGTATAGGTTTAATAAAAGTATAAATCAATGCAATTAATTAGGTACCATACCTGAGGTGGTGGGTCCATAAAGTCAAACTCAAGGAGATTCTTGACGCCGAGAGACTTCAGCAAAAGCACCGTATTTGCAAGATTCGTCCTCTGGATTTCGGGAATGGTATTCTCGAAAAACTCGTTTCGATAGGCCATCTCGGTGTATAGACGATAGCAGAACCTAAACATAAATGAGATCAGTCGAGTAATTTTGAAAGCATGGGTCAACGCCACTTACCCGCTACCCGTACGGCCAGCGCGGCCACTGCGTTGGTTGGCGTTGGCCTGGCTGATAGGCGTAATTTGGAGAGCATCCATACCAACCTTTGGGTTGTAGACCTTGAGCTTCGAATACCCGGCGTCCACGACGTACAAGATTCCATCGACTACGATGAAATCAGTATGGGTCCACTTGATTAAAGACGGATGACGTTACCAGTCAACGATGTCTCCGCAATATTTGTGGCCACGATGACCTTTCGTCTTCCATCACTTGTAGCATCAAAGATCTTTGCCTGCAAGTCGGCAGGCATCTGCGAATAGATAGGAAGGACAGCGAGTGGTGCCGGGTCGTCTAGTTGGGAGAGTCGTTCTATAGAAAACTGTCAAGACCTCCAACATAACGTCAGAAAATAAGAACATGCCTTGGACAACCTGGCAAGTAATCTCGATGTCCTCCTGTCCAGTCATGAACACAAGAATATCGCCGGGAGGTAGCGATAGATGGATTTGAAGAACTTGCTTCACTGCACTATCAACATAGTCTTCACAGGGCGACTTAGAATGGAACATCTCCACAGGGAAAGTTCGTCCAGGGATGGTGTATGTCGGAGCATTGCCATAAAAGTTAGAAAACTGGCATTTCTTGTGTGAGCAACATTTGACAAAATAAGAGGCATGGCATCTGACCTTGTCGGCGTTCATTGTGGCAGAGGTAACGATAAGTTTTAAATCACGTCGTCGGGTAAGGACTTAAACAGAGATCATGAGTATATGCGCAGTCCAGAAACAAGCCATTCTTATTA